AAAAAAAAATGTGTTATTTTCTGCCTATAATATAATGTTACCAAGTATATATACATTGCAGGACAGATAAATGTAGTTAACTAATCAAAGTTTCCCTTTATATGGTTATTACTATTCTGTAAGAATACTTCATCCACTCTTTTTACAGGTCAAGAATATAATATATCTTCCTACAGCATGAAGGAAAACAGCTATCTCCAGCTTACTCCTCCTATCTAACTATGATGTATCAGTGCCTGAACTGAGCCTTAGAGGATAGATAGGATTGGAAAGTACAGAAAAAAAACTTAAGTACTCAATACAACAGGACATGCACTGAGGAAAGTGAGATGGACAGGGCGGACTCAGAAAATAAGCAGCTAGAAGGCAGCCTGCTACTCTGAGGCAAACAGAAAACTGGGGCAGGATGAGAAACTGGAAATGAAGTACAGTATCTTAGAGTAACTACTTGTATTTTCTTAGCAAGTGAGTAACCAAGTCCATTATTTTAGTAATATTAATCTGCCAAGTCAAAACAGAGTATAGAAGACACAAAGGACGGTAAAATCAACATGAAACTAAAGTGATACAAAGTTATTAATTTAAAGCTGGATGTGGTAGCAGACCCCTTTAATCTCAGCATTTAGGAGGCGGGGACAGAGAGGCAGATCTGAGTCTGAAGGCAAGCCTGATCTACAGAGCAAGTTTAGGATAGCTAGAACTATACAGAAAAGCCCTGTCTGGGAGAAAACAAACAAACAGAAAATAAAATAAAATAAAAAGCAAAGGTTGTGAATCTATTAGAATAGTTTAATGATGGTGCATGCCTTTAATCTCAGCACTCAGGAGGCAGACGCAGGAGGATCACTGTGAGCTCAAAGCCAGCCTGGTTTACAAAGTGAGTCCAGGACAGCCAGAGCTATTACACAGAGAACCCTGTCTTGAAAAACAAAACAACAACAGCAACAACAACAAAAAGGACTTAAAAAATTAAAAAGTTTAATGACATGATAAACACTGAAGAAGGTAGTGGGGCTGGACCAAAGAACGAAGAATAAAAGAGTGATAAAGGCTAGGCTAGGTGGTGCATACCTTTAATCTCATCCCTGGAGGATGAAGTTGGAAGTTAAGGCATCCTTAACTACCTAGAGAGTTTTGAAGGCAGCGTGGACTATATGATGCCTGATGCAAGAAAATGGAGAGATAGAAGGGAGGGAGGGAGAGGAGGAAGCTACAAGCAAGGCTTACTGGTAATTGTTTATTATCCCAGCACTGGACACAGAGACAGGAAGAGTAAATTCTAGGCCAACCTGGGCTACATAAAAAGACCTTTTCTCAAAAAAGATAGATAGAAGAAAGAAAGATGAGCTGGAATAGGGCTCAGTGCGTGCAGTGCAAGTATGAGTACCTAAAGTTGATCCCTAGCACCAACATAAAAGCTAGTGCACATCAGCAATCCAATGCTACGGGGGCGGAGTCAGGAGGATCCATAGGGCTGCTTAGCCAGCCAGCCTAGGTGAGCTGGTGAGCTCCAGATTCAGTGAGAGCATGTCTCAAAACACTGAGGTAAAAAACAAGCAAAGACAACAGCAACATTAACATGTACACACACACACACACACACACACACACACACACAGGATTATGGGCACAAACACATCTGTGCACACATAGGGAAGCATAGGCACAAACCTACATGCACACACATAAAAAAAACCTGTAGGGTTAAAGTGAGCTACCAATCAAATAAACAGACAACTCAATAACAAAGAGGAAAACAAGTGTTACAGAAAACAGGAAAGGTTATCTGCGCTGCTGAGTGGTTCAAAGGAGGTATACACAGAGAACTTAACAGGTTCTCAAGCAGGATATCTTGGGCCACTTTTAAGACAGTGTGTGTGCTGAAAACACAATTCAAGTATGAAGAGAAAAAAGTAAAAAGAAAAAAAATGAGTTGTGGGAACACAGAAGGTTCATGTGGAATGTTCTTTGCAAAGCTTAGGGGGCAGAGAAAACATGAACTTGGTGGGAACAAGAATCAAACAAGAGCTCTCCTTTTAAAGATACAAGAATCATGAATGAGAAAAACGTATGACATTTCAAAATCATTCTCTGAAATGCACAAACCACAGCCAAGGACAGGATGACCATCTCTAATCCAAAATTTTGAATTCTAAAATATTCCAAAATCTGAAACACCTTGAATGCCAGCATGATATCACAGTAGAAAGCTCCACATTGACTTCATAAGCTTCAAACCACCCAAAGTTATTTAAAAACTTATACCCTCAGACTATGTATATTTAGTTTGATATATATATAATATATCAAACATAAGCAAAGTTTATGTCAGAACTCCAATTCTATCCCTATAAATATGTTGCATATATACTAGTATTTCAAAATCTAAAACACATCTTGTTTCAAGCATTTCAGAGAAGGGATGCTTGTGCTAACAGTGTGCTTCTAGTATGGTCTAAATGTTCATATCCCTTCAAAACCTGTATGTTGCTGCCCTAACTCTTATGCTGCCCTAACTCTTAATGTGATAGAATCTGGAGGCAGGCCTTTGAAGGTAGCTAGAGTGAGAAAAGATGGTGAGGGTGACAGAATTTACAGAGACGTCAGACTGCTTATATCCCACAGTAACCCACAAAGTTCTTCATAACAGTGTTAGAGATATTCCTGTCATTTCAGTACTCAGGAAGTTGACACACGAAAGAGTGTAAGGACAATCTGGACTACATACTGAGTTCAAGGCCAGCCAGAGTTGCATAGTAAGACTACAACAACAAGGCACAGTGGGGTGTACCTGTAAGCCCAGCACTCAGGAGCTGTGCTGCTCCTGTCACCAAAAAAAACTATATACAATGGAAAATCGAGCACACTAAAGTTACAGTTCAGAAAATATATCCATACACTATTTGTAATAGACCCAACAAGTACAGGGGACAAACAGAATGTTGACTAGACTACACTGAGAAGTTTTACAAGGAAAGCCTCTACAAAGCATTTCCTCTTCAAATGAACAGAGTCTATCTAGCTTTCAAGCAGCTCTAAGAAGGGCAAAAGTTTGAGGTTATTTGAATGACATCTGTTTTGAGTACCCAACTAAAGAATTTTAACCAAAAGAAGAGAATGTCCACTCTCCACAGCTTGAAGTAGACTGATAACAAGTCCCTTGCTGAGCGGAATACCCCTGGTTGCTAGGACTCCACTCAGTAATATCCCATCTCACACTACTGTCTCCCTAGAGCGTATTCTTCACCTAAGCTAACTGCACAGTCTGAAGTACGGCTCCAAACACTGTTCACAATGAGAGAGGCCAACAATCGCCTGCTAGCTGTCTTAATTAGCTCATCCCTCTAATGAGTGTTTACTGGGGAGTCATAGTTCAATTCCTCCAACAACAACAACCAAAAGAAGGTATTTCAAGGGTTCTCAAGGGACAAATGCATTGAGAGGCCACACCCTATTCCCTGAGTACCACTTAAAATGCTTCTGTTACTACTTAAGCCAATGACATGTCTGGACTAGTAAAAAACTCCTATCATTCTAAGAAAAATATTAGTACAATATTTTCTGTCAGAGTCCTAAATCATTAATCCTCATCCAACATGAACAAGCTCCTAACACACTGCAAAGATCTAAAAACTGGTGAACAAGGTAAACCACAACGCTGAAAAGCCTGCTGGGAAGAATGGAGACACACAGATAATGTTCACATTCCTCAACAAAGAAAAACTGCAGGAAGCACCTTACCTACAACAGAAACATGGACTATTAAAAAACTAGTTTGGAGGAAAGAAAAGCATAAACTTGACCTGCCACAAGGCCTGGCAAACATGTCCTTTTGCTCATTACAACAGAGAAAAACATGAGCATGTATCTAACATGAAGCACTAACTGTGTCAGAACCAAACACAAAGGCTTCATGGTACTGAGTTGTATCAGATGCTAGAAGGCAACAATTGCCAAATGTTCTCAAGGACAATTAATCCTATATATTTTTCTCCTCACATAGGGCTACGTAAGAAAGATTTACACCTGAGTGAACTTCCATCACGTGCCTTGGCTCTGGCAGAGAAGACTTCCTCTGCTTAGTCTTGTTCCAGACGCTGCATTGCCTTCTCTTTTCTGAATAAGCTCCTAGATAGCAGGGCGTGCTGGCGCACATGTCATCCCAGCACTCGAGAAGCAGAGGCAAAAGGACACTGCAAGTCTGAGGTCAGCTGAACTACTGAGTGTGTTCAGGGCTGCCGGGGGCTGACAGTAAAACCCTGTTCCAAAAAGCTTAAAAAAGCAATGAGGAAAAAGCTATATGAACTTCATAAATAGTTTGTTGTATTTAGAAAGACAGGAGCATCTAGAAATACTCATGTTTTCATCATGTATCATGAAAGCTCAACATTCAGGTTAAACTTACTCTTCATGAAGATTATTTTTTAAAGGTATTTTGAAATTTTCCTATTCATACTAAGTTTCTGGGAAGCTTACAGGAGGGACAAATGTTTGAAGCATGAAAATAAAATACTTAAAATTTTTGCAATTAGAAATACATTTTATAAGAATGACTTATCCAGGTGATAAACCAATTAAATTTTTTATAAATAAAAGATAAACAAAAATTTCAAAGAACTGCTAACACATCTAAATGATGCCAGAACTACTCTTATAGGAAATGCCTGAGCTGCCGAAATCCCACATATTCCAAAGCTATGAAGGAGACCAGAGAAGCAGGCAATATTTCACAGCCCATCCGTGCTACTCAGGAGCCTGACCCCACTTTCCTAAGACAGACAAGGAAAAATACATAACATGGCCTATTCTCAACCTACCATGTTAGTTTCTAGTCATCTTAAGCTTCCATACCACAGGCCACATCGAACCCCAGGCTCCCTTTCCCTGCAGGAGATCATGCCATGCAGAGCAGACAAGAAAGGCTGCAGTTACCAAAAACACAATGAGACAGCATGAAGCAAGCTGCAAAGGTGCAAGGCCGCATTAGCTAATCAGCTTACCATAGATCTCCGATCTACTCTCCTCTGAACTAGACTTTGTCTTCTTGGAGGAGCTATCTGCACAAGAGCGGGAGAAAAGGAGAGATATAGAAAATATGGAGACCAATGTAAGGGGGAAATTTCATGGGGATAAAAGAACGAGTCATGGTCAAGTTAAATCGTGCAAACATGAAGTATGAACATCACAGATGATAGCACTTAGAATAGTCATGAACAGCACAGGTAATGACATATTTACAGATTATGGAAGAAAAGACAGTGCAATAAAAATACAAACACAACAACACATGGATAGTCTACACAATGTATCATCTGAGAGTTGTAGAGATGAAAAACACTTAAAGCTATACTCGGCTCTCTGTGAAGCAAGTACCTTTTTGAGAGACCTGTCTTTGGAAATGGTCACCTCACAGACAAGTGTACAGAACATGCCTAACAAGACTAGAAGGACTATGGCATTTTCATGAATGTAAGACACATGTGACCATTATTAAAGACAACAACTAGCTACAGAAATAACTGAAAGCCTCCGGCCCATGCCTGGATCCTGGCTGGGTATCTGAAGTACAGAGCTCTCTCTTCATGGGAACTGTGGCACGGTACTGCCCCCACCACACCACCAAAGCTATCTAAAACTAACTGTTCATTTCTTTACTCCAACCCAAGATGCAAAGCATACTACTTATTACTTACTTCCTAGTTCTTCCTTATTAGATAAATGCTTACAATACTTTCTCAAAATTGAGAAAACTGTTCTAAAAGTAGGAAAGATTTCAATTATTCACACAAAAAATACTCTATTAAATACTTAAAATTACACTTGTAAGTAAAAATGTCTATAAAAAATACATTTATGCATCTCAGATTGGTGTGTTGTTCATCTTTTGCCACAGGGACATACAGCTAAACAAAATAATACATGTTTAAAGAACGTATGTAAATTTCTAGTAAAAAAAAATTACTGAGCACTATCTACAAAGCAAACACTAAGATTCATGGAGAAAGAAAAAGGCAGCAGAATTCAATCTTGTACACAACATTAAGAAAATAACTGGCAGACATAAAAATTCTAGGGAAAATCAGCACAATGGAGTCTGCAAGACAACCCAGTTCAGAACACTTGAAGAAAGGGAAAAATGTCTGCTGGGCATTGAGGCACACTGCCTAGAATCCCAGCACTTGGGAGGCTGAAGCAGGAGGATCACAAGTTTAAAGCCAGCCTGAACTACAGCAGAAGACTCTATCCTGTCCCCGTACCTAAAAAATGGTGGGAAGACAAAATAGGGGATTTCTATTCATTTATTTAAAATATGGCAATCATAAATTTTTCAAGTTGCACTGCTGCTAGTTATCCAATTCATAACAATCATAGCTGAATTTTAAGTGAATGAAGAAGTTCCCAGTGGAACTTCAGTTTATGACACACTAGTGCTTATACAATCACTCATCTTGATTCTGTGCCCTCAGTCTCCAATCATGACGTCACTGCTTCTGTGACTATCGCACAGTCCCACAATGATGCATCCACTGTGGCCTGTGCAATGCTGAGTTAAACATGCATTCATTCCCGCAGACTGCAGCAATATTATACAACTACAGGGTATGAAAGCGCCAGGATTCTGAACTACACTTTTCTTAAAACATTCTTTGGAAGAACAAGAGTATTTTACCTGTGGGGTCAAAATCATGTGATGTACTGCGTTCGACTTTCTGTTTCTTATCTGTTGGTGACTCTCGGTTCAAAATACTTCCATGCCTAAGTTAAAACAATTACAATTAAATATTTAGTGTTAAAAAAAGCATACCAATAAAACTTTATAAAAAAATTACACAAATGCACCTCTCTATGGTGTGTGTGTATGTATGTGTGTGTGTGTGCTGGTACCCATGAAGGTCAGAGAGAGTATAAGGTACTTTGCAACTGGTGTTACAGGATGTTCTGAGTTGCCCAATGTGGGTATTAGAGACCAGATTCTGGTCCTCTGCAAGAACAGCAAGCACTCTTAATCACTGAGCCATCTCTCCAGACCCCAAACAAACAAACAAAAATAGGAAATAAGTTCATCTTACATAGCATAGGCCTCTATATTTTTCAAAAAGTTTTAAAATTCAACATATGAAGCCAGGCACAGTGTCGCATTCAAGGAGGCAGAGGCAGGTGAATCTCTGTGAGTTTGAGGCCAGCCTAGTCTACAAAGTGAGTCCAGGACAGCCAAAGCTATACAGAGAAACTCTGTCTTGAAAAATTCAACATATGCCATATATACGACAGTCTATGTTCTTGGTTATAAAAGGGCCTCAAGCAGTAACTTTATTCTTAAAAATAACTGCCTATAGTTTACTGATTTTTACAGTTCCATTTAACAATAAGAAAACAGTGTCCCCAAAGAATCCAACACATTCTCTGATACATACTACAGTCAAGCTGAAATCATTACAGAAATATAACATATGTAAAAACAATTTATAAAAACAAACCTACTTATTTAGGCAAGGCTTGCTTCAACCCTGACTTTATAAGCCCAGGCATAGGCAGAGCGGAATATTTTCTATGGTTTTTCCTTTATTGTCTTAAAATAAGTAAGACTAAATCAGCGCCAAAGTTCATTACAGGAGGCAACAGCCACTCAACTGACAACACGTACCCAAACTAGCAATCCATTTTCACCCCCCCAAGCAACTCACAACTCAAAACAGGCACAGATTTTAAAGCTGAATCTCTTCATAGGGAGTGACCTTAAAGTGTCAATTTGAATAAACTTTTTAAATGCTTACATTAAAAACACTGAAAATATTATCAAAACAAGGCTGTGTTCCAGAAAAAATATGCAACACCTGTTGTATTTGAAATCTGTGAAGCATTATGAAAGTTTGTACTACTTAAATCCACGCTCTCAAAAAACCACAAAAATCCCATAATTTCAAAGGAATGCTTCTAATTAAAGCTCAACTGCAACTTCTGTATAAAAACAACTGAACAACTTACCTTATAGGTTTTTTGAGGGGAAACCTGAAACAAAGGAAAAACAAAAACAAATATTCATATTAATTTAAAAGATTCTGTTATTACAGCTACCAACTATGCTAAACCAGAAGGTATTATAATCTTATGCTAACTTTCCCAAACAAGACAACAATGAGGTTGAAGGTCACATTCAGTTTTTTCAAGCTGTTCTTTGAATCTTATTCTAATTTATTTTTAGCTTCCATAACAGAAATTCTGATTTAAAAAAAAAAAAAAAAAAAAAAACTTCAGAGTATTACCAGTTACTAAAAATATGTTCCTAAAACAAAGGGTTCATTTTTGCTTTGCTTTGCTTTGTTCTTCTGGGGTTTCATAACATTGCTTCCTGATTGTCTTTTTTTAAGTACTATAAGCCAGGCATGGTGACACATACCTCCTTCAGTCCGGGAGGTAGAGTCAGGAAATTTCCAAGTTCAAGGCTAGGGTGGAACATATGGCCAGCCTGGGACAGAGTAAGATCTTGTCTTAAGAAGGTGGTGTGATTTGATTTTTCTATTTGGTGTTTTCTTTGGGGGTGGGGCGAGTTGAAACAGGGACTCCTTAAAAAACCCAGGCTATCCTCAAACTCATCATTCTTCTGCTTTGTACTCCATGGTGCTGGATAGGAGGCCTGCACTACCATCCCTAGCCAGAGGCTTCTTGGTGAGAAGCAGATGCTACAAGGATAACTATAATCTATTTATCATTGAAGCAGTCTGGTTTCCAAACAAATCCTACACAAATTCACTTTAACTCTTATTTCAATCAAACTGATCCACAGAAAGTCAGAGCATCTACAAACCTCCATGATAACGGATGATGCCTACAGACAGTGGAAATCAGAAAGGCACTGTGGAACAACAGGACACTGTTCTTGAAAACGGGTAATCCTAAGAGGACAAGCCAGGAGTAAGTGCTCCTATGTCACCTGATAATCCTTTTGGGGGAAGGAGAAGGAGGGACTGGGAATAGGTTTTTTCTTTATCAACAAATATAAACTGGCAGAGAAGGACGTTCCACTGAGGGCCTGCTAAGGATATCAATAGCCTACAGTCTATCAATCGGAGGAACCGCTTTGGTTCTTTGAGCTACAGAACCCTGAAGAGCAGAACAAAGCTTCTACAATAAACCCCAGTCACCCCAATCAATGCTGCTTACTGTCAAGATGTGTAGCACCCAAGGGATTCTGGCAAAGATTTCTAGAATTTGCCAGACAACATGACTGTTAAGCTTCCTAGACTATTTCCTCTTAAAAGAAAATGTAAAAGAGTTGGGCACCATGGCACATGCCTTTAATTCCAGCACTCAGGGAGACACAGGCAGGCAGATCTCTGTAAGTTTGAGACCAGCTTAGGCGACCAATCAAGTCCAGGATAAACAAGGCTACACAGAGAAATCCTGTCTGGTCGGGGCGGAGGAGCAAGAAAATAGGAAAGAACAAAGAGGAAAGAAATGGAGGGGGGAGTACAAGAACAAAGACCACAGGGCAATACCTCACTATCCACTTACTATATTCACAAAGTACAGAAAAAAATTCACAAGGTTTGTTGTTTTTTGGTTTGTTTTTGTTTTTTTTTTGAAACTTTAGTAATGATTATTTTTTATTTTACATTCATTGGTGTGTTTACCTGCATGATGTCTGTGTAAGGGTGTCAGGTTCCCTAGAACTGGAGTTATAGACAGTTTTCAGCTGCCATGTAGGCACTGGGAATTGAATCCAGGTCCTCTGGAAGAGGAGCTAGTGCTCAGCTAGTGCTGAGCCATCCCTCCAGCCCCCAAAAAACTCACAACATTTGAAATCACAGCAGTTTTTCCCTAATTTCCAAATTCTATTTAAAGCAAACAAGGTAGATGGTCCTGTGTTTCAAGAAAGCAGGGGGAGCAAACCCCGAGAGCAAGCCAGTAAGCAGCACTCCAGCATGACCTCTGCATCAGCTCCTGCCTCCCTGCCCTGACAATGCTCAATGATGGACGACGTGGAACTCTAAGCTGAAGTAAACCCTTTCCTTCCCAAGTTGTTTATGGCCACGATGTTTCATCACGGCAATAGAAACCCTACAACAATGGCTGTATCTCAACTGTTCATACCAAGCACCAACAGAATCACAGGGAGGAGGGAAGGAACCTTTATCTCTAAAGTCTTAGGAGAAGGAAAATCAGTTCATCTGAACTCACTTTCAAATCACAGAGCACTGAGAGGCCCCACGCATCAGTGTTGCACTTAGCACATCAACACCCAGACTTTCAACTGCAGCATCATATGCAAGCTCAAAAAACAAAGTGTTGACCAAAGCTCCCAGGAAGGGAACACAGAGAGCCAGGAAATTATACTTAGCTCCTATGTGCTCTAAAGATGTTTTGCAATTCCCTAGAATTAAAGTAATATGAATCTACCTATGCCTTCTGGAAAAATAAAAACCCTTTTGTAGAAATTTGTAGGTAGAACCCTAATGTTATAGTGACTGTACAGATTCCATGTTATACTTACACTTTTTAAAGAAAACAAATTATAGATAAGACTTTTGCCTATGTACCGAAACTGAGCTGGTTCAGTATACTTTTATAAATACATGGAATTTAAGAAGCTATATGAATATAAAAGATATTATCATCACAATTAAAAATGGTGCCGGGTGTGGTGGTACACACATTTAATTCCAGCACTCAGGAGGCAGAGGCAGCCAGATCTCTGGGAGTTCAAAGCCAGCCTGGTCTACAAAGCAAGTCTAGGACAGCCAGGGCTTTGCTACACAGAGAACCCCTGTCTCAAATAAGGGAGGTAGGGAGGCGTACACAAAATTGTAATGTAGATACCCATAGCCAGAGCTCAGATGAGGACATTAGGTGTCCTGCTCTACGACTCTTATTCCTGACAGAATAGGATCTTTCATGGAACCTGGAGCTAGACTGGTAGCCACCAAGCCCCCAATGATTTTCCTGTCTCTGGCCCCCACTCAATACAATGCTAGGAATACAGGCATGCTGGCCATACCTGTGTTTTTACTTGGTTGCTAGGATCTGAACTCAGAGCACTCTTAATAATGAGCCATCTCTTCAGCTCAACTACCTCTTTTACAAAATACACGTACCAAGTCCATAGAAAGCATTTTATTAGTTTCTTCTAAGAAAACTATTTTCGTTAAAATACATTTATATATATATATATTTATATACATATATATACATATATGAAACACTAAAAGAAATTGTTAAGTTTTGTACTAAAGAGGTTTGTCTTTGAGTTGTGTCAAATGTTAGTTAACTCTCAATCAGAATCAACTACTTAATCACAAACCCATATTTTTCTGTGAAATCTAAATGTTTCAGGCTTTTAAACTATCATATGAGGAGAGTTCTCTAATTTTATAGAAGAAATGTAAGAAAATTAGCATCATACATGCCATTTCATACTTGTTCCTACTGTTTCTGTTTAATTTTTTCATGTGTGTATATATGCATGGAGAGAAACAGAGACAGGCAGATAAGACACACAGAGACAGAGAGCACTTTGGGTGTCTCAATCACTCCATTTTATGTACTGAGACAGTCTTTCACTAAACTCAGAGCTTCCCAATTCCACTTAGTCCAGCTGACTAGCTTAGTTGGGGTCATTTGTCTCTGCCTGGAGAGCAGGGATTACAGGGGACCCTTTGCCTGTCCTTTTATTCTATTCTGGCAACTGGTGTGCCAGTCCTACTTGCACAAGCTATTTCCCCAGATGTGTCTGGTTTCATTTCACCCTCACCAGAGGAAGTGAAGGTGGTGGAGACTTACCTATACAAGAACATAAGGGAAAAGGGTTTTAACTCCTCTTGTGGCATCCCAGACCTGTGAACTGCTGATGACAAAAGTCAACTCAGCAGGCTTGTCTCAGTCTCTTGTCTGGGAGGCTGAGGTAGAAAGACTCGCTGTCGCCTGAGGCCAGTCTAGACCTCCACAGCCAAGTTCTCACACTACAGGGTGATCCTGCCTCAAACCCAACAAAAACAAAACAACAAACTATAGGGTTCATTTGAAATTCGTAGACCATTACTTCTATTCTCTCCCTTAGTTGCTATAAACGGAGCTTATTCTGATAGACTTCATACATAGACTACAATGCTAATATTACTAAACAAAGTCCTGTATCACATACTAACGTCACATAACAATCAAGAGGACCTTATTCCCAAGAGACTAAGAAATGAAACTGTCCCCTTCCCAAGATGTAAAGTCTCCTATGACGCAAAGCCTCTCCACTCTGTAACATAATGGAATTATTTATTTTTCTCTCTACCTGGACTTCACACATAGTACAAAAGTCCTTTTATAAAAATTAAGGCATACTAAACATATCAACTTCCATCAAGCTGGGCCTGGTGGCACATGCACTGTAAGCCCAGCTAACCAGGAGGGTGACCTGCATCATTTGAACCCGGGAATTTCAGACCAGCCTGGAACTATTGGCAGACTCTTTCTCTAAACAAACAAACAAATAAGACATTAACATATTTTACACCAGTAAATATTTCATTGAAGCACTGGTTTTAACGTATGCTACATAAGACCCTGGGGGCTCATAAGAGGTCTACCGTAGATGAAAAGTACCAACAGGACTCTAAGTTCCCCATACATCAGAGTGGGCTGGCTTTTAGTTCATCTAGAGCTTCCAAACAAACAAAAATCTGAAAAGGAGAGCTCTAAATACTTTTCATTACTAGGAATTGAGCACCACAATGTAATTCTTTATAGCTTCAAAGTATCTCTTTTGTAATATGGCTGCTTAATCAATTTAGGTTACTTTGTAAATACTTAGCCTAAGTACAGTTTTTCAGCCCAGGGACAACACTATAACAACCACACACCTTAACTCCAGGCCTAAACCCCCCCTTTAAGTTTCAGGATGAACTCATTAACAGGAAGGAATCCACATGGGAGTTTAGACTACAGCTAGATAAAGGCAGTCAGTGTGAGTACTAGATAAACAGAAACGGAAGGACAATCCTCTGTCTGCATTAATCTCATGC